TACCGTTCTCCGTCTTTCCATACCGTTCTTCATTACTGTTTACTTATCCCTCAGACGTATTAATTGTTTCAAAAGGTTTTACTGCAGAGGACACTAGCCCTTTTTCCTTCATAAAAGGACAACAACAGTAAGGAAGCCAAGGCGAAGCCGGGCTTCCGCGCTAGTGTTCGAATAATTTTGCTAACATTGTTTAGCCTTTCCTAATTCAGTGCTAATTTTTTCGACTTAAAGAGGCGCACCCGAGGTAAATTGCAATGTCGAAAGACAGTCGGAATAATTTAGATATTCTTTGTGGTTATATAGAAATAAACAGGAAGATTAATAGCGTACGACAGGCAAAAGCAGGCGAGGTAGAAATAAAAAAGACATACATTTGAGGTACTTAGAAGAGCACTCGTGTGAAGGACGCAGACACTTGCCTGTCAGTTTATAACTGAATAAGGACAAGGGGCAGGGAAACAAAGAACTAGGAGAATCAGCGAATTGGAAGGCACAATACGAGGTCAAGGGACACTGGACGCGAGGCATCAGTGGATGACTAAGCGGGAATAAGGACATATGTTTCGGCCAATTTGGATTACTAACACGCAGGTAGCAGCAATAAAAATCCGAATATGTGACTAACGTGCTGAATGTCATGCTACCTCCCTGGACGCTTAGCTGAGCTGACTTAAAATAACAACCAAATATATATAACTAACAACGACAGCGCGTAGACAACACAGATATACATGAAAGTATAAATTAAAGATAATAAATGCATGAGTAAAGGAGCCTGTGAAAACAGTGAGCTATAGGATAAAAATAGGTATAAAGCAAGTAGAGCCAACATAAAACGTGGAATCAGTGGTTGGTGACCAAAGATATGGCCCGACATTTTACTTTTCTTGTCAAACTAAAAATTCCGGCCGTAAAGTAATACCAGACCTGCTTAGCAAAGAAGAAGTGCGTAGAAGGTTGAAAATAATGGAAAGGAAATCGACGGTCTCATAATCAGCATATGGAAAAGAGAATGCCTCTTGCCCATGAAAATTGTTGTTTAAATCGATTCGCAACTTCCAATCGGCAGTTTTTCTAATAACTGGTGACTTCGTGGTTCTGGTTTAATGGTTTGTGTTCGGCTCTTTTTCGTGCGCAGTAGGGCGCTCATTCATCTTTTAATTCCATGTCAGGTTTTTTTTCTAATTTTTACTGAAGTTAGGCTGCCACACACTGCATTTTGCACCGCTAGCTTCCAATATTTTTGGATGCCCTTAGGTTTTACTTCGATTATA